GTGAATAAATACATTATCAAACGAAAATTACTGTCCACTAGTATATATTTTAGGGTCGATAAGTGATATTAAATGTCGTTATTCCAGTCGTTCTTATAAACAGTTCAATGCAATAAAATCGTTGAATTGCATACAGAAACGTGGTTAGAAATTCAATGTCACATGAATAGCCGCTTCACAGTGTCATCATTGACTTTAAGATGGATATTTCACAGTAACGAGTAATTAAATCAGTATATTATTGCCAAGTGACATTCTCGATTTAACAGTTTGGAAATGAATATATGTCTTATAAATTAATGTCAGTCATCAAGATTGTCTATTACGAATAATCACTTCATGAATTTTTGCCGAAAATTTCACTTAAATCCAATTCCCATCTAGTTAACAGAATATGTTTCTTCAAAACGGGATGCAATATAATGAAAACGGGTAAAACTATATCTGAATTAATATATCCGTGTGTAGTGAAAAAATTTCATGACCTAAATATTCCATACGTTTTAGTTATTAACTACAAATAAGTAATTCTATTGTATAATTTCAGTACTAAGTAAATAAATACATTAATGAATATAATACTAACATGAATTGAAGTTATCATTCGTTTCCAAATGTATAGACGTTTAGTGTATTCTTTTGTTGTTCTCGTAAAAAATCCATAATAGCTATTGTGCGTAGAGTACTAATGAAGGGAAAAAAGTTAGGTCAACAAAGCTCTTCAATAAAGCTAGGGTAATGATAGTAATAATGAAACAGCATCAGTAAAACGACATACTGAATTAACAAATAACACTGACAAATGGTTCCAAATTCCAATAACTGTTCGAGAGCTTTATTCTCATCATTTGTAAGTTTCTAGAACGACCTACAAGTCTGAAATACGAATTCTAAAATGTGCTTAATCTCTATTTTATCTGAATCAAATAAGTAAAACAATAAATGTTATGCATTTGTTACAAATGTTCATGAGAATAAAATAAAATTGGATTATTCAAATGTTTTTAGTTCCGAGTGATCCTAAACAGATAATGTGGATTGCATAATCTGATTTGTGAAAAGTGAAAATAGCTTATTATTATCTTATAAAGCTTCGTCAGTGCATAATCCAAATACAAGTTGAAGAATGTAGTTAAGATTGAAATTAGTCCATCTAGAAATTGTGAAATTTCAAAGAAGACGATCCAAGTTGACCGAACTAACATAAACAACAATCTGTCCAGTTTCTTAGAAACAAATAAGCCAACACATTAGTCAATCATTGATATGTTTCATTTTAAACAATGATATGTTTAATATGTTTGAGACAAAGCAATCAAAAACTATGTTTTTATTTACTTGATTAAAGTGTGAAAAACTTAATATTTTGCTCAACTACTAGGTAGGAATGAAAGGTATAATATTGATCAATAAACAGCTACTGACGAATAAAATTGACTAAATATTTCATATGAGTGTCTTTCTGGCATAGATTGAAACCAGATGATCAGAATCTGTGTTGAACTCTGTAAATTATAACAGTCTCTTTCTTTGTGACAAGTGTAACAATGAAATGCTTTCATGCAGAAAGTAAATAGTTTTATTATCCAAATGTAATTACTAAACTTACGTACAGCTATTAGATTCCATTTCGATCTCACCTAATTATTTTCACAGTTTTAAATCATGAATTGATCTTAGTTAGACTCCCTGTGAAAACCGGGAAACATTGAACGGCTGTTTCTTACTAGTATGCGACTCCTCAGTGGTGCATGTCCACGAACCCGCATCCAGGAATCGAAGTCAAGCTCCTCAGTCTCACACATGAACGTTAAGTTTTTAGATTATTGAGTTAGTATCCAACGGTGTAAAGGTTTAATTTCAACTGACGATATTGTGCAACCCTCATCTATTGCCTGTGGTGGGTAACCATTGTGGATACACACAGATTGGGCATCTCATACGAGGTCAAAGAAACCATCAAGTGCTCCTAGGTTTTCAGTGGTAGTGTTACTGAGGTCAACTCATGATTTAAAAGTCCAATTTCTACAGTCTCCACAAGTCCTTTGCACTAATATAATTCGTTGTTGAAAGATGCAGGTGCTTATTTTTACAAACTTATCGACTGAGAAATCCTATGTTTGTTGCCGACCATAAAGAAAATAAATTATGCTTTACCTTCCACCATCTATTTCCGTCAATATTTCACGGTATTCTGCGCAACGTTGACGGAGTTCATTTCTCCGTTCGATAATGATTGGTAGTTTGTGGTATTTTACATATCCAGTTTCTTGTAATACTTTGTCAAGTATATAACTCCAATCGATCTACACAAGTAAAATAAGTTACAATGAGCTTATAATATGGTTTTTCGAGATGGAATGGAATAATATTTTCAGTGGCTTTCACGTCACATATAACAGCCTCTTTCATGGAGATGACCACCTGTGTATTACTAGGTAAAACAGTTCAGTAATCTAATAGTGATTATTGAAATTCCAAGTAAATATAGATTCCTAGAAAACTTAGCTTACAAGTATTCTATAAAATGAAGATTTCGAATGCTGACTTTCATCTGTTCACTACAAATAATGTCTCACTATTCTGTGCCAAGTAACCTACATTTTGTAGCATACACTGACAGTTATCAACTACAATTTTTGTTAAGGAGTCTCAGTTAAACTGCTTTATATTTTAAAAAAATATAGTTGGAGCACGTCATAGGATAATATTTACCTGTGGACAAATGGATTGTAGTTCGTCTTTCGTCACAAATTCTTTCAAGTGTTGTTTCTTTGGGTTCGACCTCTTTTGGCGATTGAGCGTAAAACATAACAAGAATCAAAATGACAGTTGTATCTTAATTTCAATTGGATATCACAAAAGGAGACTCTTGGGTGAAAATCATTTGCAGTCATGGTCTGACAATTGTACACTCCAGTTATACGATATAAGGATTTTAAGAGACATAGTTCACCAATTGTAACGATGAAATCTTACTGCCAACAATGATCTTGTAGTCGAGTTTACAGGAACGAAAGGAGAGTTTTCGGTTGAAAAGCGTGTAATAGCCATTTCTAATTAGGTGGGAACTACGAGGAAAGCATGTTACCATGATATTTGTCTGAAATCTGTTTCGGTAATTCGAGTGGTTTTTCTATTATTCATTTTTATCAATCAGAAGACCTACAGAAATAGGCAATCTGCTCAAACTTTGGAGTTACATTTCCCAGTTGCTGTTAACGCAGTTGATCACCAATCTGTTTCCGTGAATCAAAGATACATAATAGCTATATGACATTCTCTTATTCATTTATTAACGGTTAAAAACTTATTGTGATGCTATAATCCATGGAATTCACGTAAATGTTTCGTCCGTTTTTTTCATAAATGAGGGGAATGTACATCAAAATTTGTACGTGGAACAGATTATTATGTGCAGAGAAAATCGATAAATTTTAGTAGCGTAAAACAATATTATCCTATTTTTGACTTGGAAACATACAAATTCTTAAATAAACTCACTCTGCCTAATCGAATCATTTTTCGGAAAGCATCCGTTAGTTGTGTATTTGAGACTGAGGTACCCCAGTTTCAAGTGCAAGTTTGTAGTAATCCTCTTCGGATTTATCCATATCAGTCTGTCAAATAAAATTTGGAACATCTTTTACTCAAACTGAAATATACATGTAAAACTGAGTGGGTGAGACATTGAAATGCACATTGATATAAGACGGAATTTATTTGTGAAATATTTATGATCGTTATTTAAGATGTACAGATATCTCCGAAATATACAAATAGTCTTGAGTTTTTCTATTGTGACTCAACATTTGTCGACTGTTCTGGTTGAGAATGATGATTCATTAGTTATTCTACAATGTATTAGATTAAGTCATATTATTATGAGTATCGAACTTCCATATTGATGACACATATGTTCCCACCCTGGCATCTCACACTTGGCATTCGTAATACATAGGAAAGCAATGTACTACGAAAGACAGGATTTATATCTATGCGAACAAAACATTTGTATTATCGGAGAGTGAGTTCACCTTGTCAATGAACTGGTAACAGTGTACTTCATTTATGTACCTTTAAAAAATTCTGGTGAGATTTTGTCATCCATTTTTTCAATTTTAACTTTATATAGAAATATTAGTAAATCTATTTAAATACCTTTTGGAATTACAAATGCGATATGACAATATGATGTCTTCTTTCGTCATTAGTTACAAATATATCAATGCAGTTGGTGATTCACATTCTCATCATACTCTGTCAGCTAACGTATTCCTTAATTTTGCATAAAACTTGAGTTTTTATTAGACATATCTTTTGATAAACATACAATGATTACTTATTAGCAATCCGACGTATGCTGTACATCTAAGCATATGTACTTATTACATAATCTTAAAATTTGATCGATGAAATCATGTTTTCTCACAAAATACTGTTATGAAGATAATTGTTTGAAGTATCATCTAAGTGTAATTTCAGGCATTAAATACTGTGTCAAAGTGTCAGTCAACTTATCTTTCGTAATTACAGAAATGCATTAGAAATACAGGATTGGAGACGATATTGAAAGCGGATTTGTGATATAATGTAAACGCATATAAATGGAATGTTCAAATATGGCCTGGTGAGTAGCAGTCTGTTAATCTTTTACCGAATTCCCGAAAATTCGGCTGCTACCATAATTTGACAACTTTCTTTAGATGCCACGAATAAACATCATATTGAAGAGCTGATTTTGTAATATCACAAAAACCTCTAAACTAAACTCAGTGACGTAATACATAGAGAGTCAGTTAGTCCAAATGCATTAATTTTGATACCAAAGAATAATTTAAGTAAATACGTGGTACTAATCATTCGGCTGAATGAAACGTTTGCATGTCAATATTTAAGACTTTTCCGACATTTTATTCAAATCAATATGAGATAGAAGTCAGAAGCTTTCATTGAATTACCTATTAAATACATAAGTTCTAGACAAATTTAAAAGTTACCTTCTGTAAATCTGTTTGAAAAGCGAACTGACCAGGTGAAATCTGATGAGAGATTAGAATTACAAAATACATTGCAGTGGTTTGTTAAACAATTAAACAAGGTACATACTGCATAAAACATGTAATAGCAATCTGAATTTTATTCAAGCTGTTTTCACCGACAATATGTATGTGAAATATATTTGCTTAGTTTGATACAATTTCTTGTTTATGAGATATATTGAGAGTATGTTATTTCTATAAATATTACCATTACATGGAATGACACATCAATTTACAATGATTTATTACGTGTATTGACTATCTGAAATTGTAATTTAGAAGCTTAATTGCTAAGCAGATTTCAGTAAAATCATTCATGTGTTTTATGTGGAAAGAAATAGTCGTAATTAAGTTCCTTAAATGGAAAAAGACAACACAGTGATGTAAATTTCTTCCTGACGTTATCCTTTGCCAAAACCTTACAATGGCATCTATAGAGATTTAATAAATGAATGAGTTTGTAGAATTATATTAAGAAATTATGTCTAGGTATTCGGTGAAATCAAGTATCAAAGGAAGGTTAAGTAGTGATCTAGGCGTTAATGAAGATTAGGAACATGAAAGTTATTTTCAGGTCAGAAATAAGAGAGATTATTTTTAACCTGATAGACATGAAGGAAAACTTAAACCCATCAAGGTGATAATGACAATGGAATAATAATTCTGGAAAGTTGTACGAAGGTCATTATTATTGGCTACTGATTAAAGAAGTAAAGTATAATAATAGAAAATATGCTGGAAGCGGTGAAAGACCCATGGAAGTGTTATAGATTATATGTGTTGTTTTTGGTTTGAATCTGTAAACTGATGAAGACTCACGAGTAATGCAGTTTTTGATAGGACCTTCATTTGTATATCTGTATAGATGGATTTGAAGGATCATACTAGTGGGACATTGTGACCAGAATTGATGGGCTATTTCTGTTTTAGTTTGCCGATTGTTTTCGATTTTCCCTTGACAATACACACCGGATGATGTTTTGAGACACTTTCAGAAAGTATTGATTTTTGTATAGCTAATTTGACCTGCTCCGTCAGAGCAAGTAGTCTATTTTTGTCACTTCCATGACTGACTAGCTGTTTGTAGACGATGCAAAGCCTGGTCGCTTAAAATCATTTTCTCTAGGATTTTGTAACTCGATTTTTCAGAGCTTCTACCGTGAAACTCAGTGCTAATGAACAAAGTTTTTTGAACAATTATTGGTCATTCAGATTTCTGTTCCCATCAAAGGTTTTTAACTGTGAGCTTAGACTGATAATCAATCTTCATAAGTTTTTGTCTGGGTCGAGGTAATTTATTTTTATTGTGTTTTTGAAATATATCCTCCTGGCCCTTGGGTTAATTACTGAACTATTCAGTGAGACTGAATACAGAATTCATGTATTGATCATTCTATTTAATGTGTTTGAGTCCTTGTGATGGACTATCTGGGGACATTTTAACAGGAAATAAAGGGAGTGAAATTTCAAAGTCACCTTAGCTTCCAACGTAAATGTAATTGGACGATGACAATTATTGAATTTGTTCAGGATGATGATGGAGATGATATTTTTGTTATAGATGATGCACGTGTGATCAGTGTATCTTTTGTATAAGTATCATATACTTGAGCTTGACCATGAAGTGATACATTAGAAGAGGGTCCAGTAGGGAACTCTTTGCTTACCCATAAGTTCATATCCAGAATTCATTGTTAGATCTGAACCGGACATTGAAGGTGCATTGAAGGAGTGTGTGTTTTTAGACAGTGTTTCAGAACACCGATATCGAAAAGAAGATTCGCCCAACAGGAGAGATGTGTTTCTGAAGTGACCGTACCGAAAATAATAACTAACCATAGTCAATTCCTTAAGCAATAGAACAGCCCTTACAAAATCTGAACTTTGTCAACATTAACTTCCTTGACGGTAATTTACCCAAACCTACTATAGTTGTGTATAAAACTCTAAATTTTGTCTACATACTCTACTTGTTAGTAAAGATGGATAGTGGCTAGCAGTGGAACCCAGGACGTGCGTTTCATCCTATTTGGGACTCGTCAGCTGAATATGTTTGCATCTCAGAGTTGATGTTCACTGTGGGACACGAACCCAGTACCGTTCGCTTCAAACGCCATCGCGTGATCCACATAGCTACTGACTCCTGATAGCCACTAGTTTGTGCAATGGAGTGAAGTTTGAATTCACTCTGTATTGTTTACTTGAATCTTCCCATTGATGTTTAGGACTGCAATCGATCAGTCTCCACTCTCAGATCCAAGTATATCCAGCTGACGAGCCCCAAGTAGGAAGAAGAGCGCGTCCTCTATTCCACTGATAGCCACCACCTATCTTTGTCTAGAATGCTTGTGAATGAAGGGAATTTAGAGGCGATACGTACAGTATGCACGTATGCCAATCAGAGACTGATCGTAAACCCTAATGGGAAGATTGAAGTAAACAATATCAAGCGAATGTTACTTGATAGTGCTTTAAGTTATGTACCGTGTTACGAGATGGAACCATCTTTAACATGAGTGGTTCAGTATCCTTGACTACTGAGAAGTCGAAGTTTTCTCAAATGATAGCAGTCAATTTTTAATGGCTATGCGAGCGGTTTATCAAAATTCTTTTATTCACTACGACCAGTTTACATGCCACATGAAAGGTCAAACAACAAAAAAACATTTAAAGCAGTATGATGTGTCATGGCTTTAGTTCTACAAATATAACCTAAGTAGTCTTCGTTAAGTATAACCGAAATGGGTTAATCTGTCGTCACAGTAAAATTTTAGTTTTTAGTAGGCAACATCAATGGAATGCTTTTCCTTAGTAATGCAGTAGATCATATATTTAGTCGTCGTTGTATTCAAAAAGGTATTTGAATTTTCAGACTTTCTTATCAAAGTCTAAATACATTTTTTATTCACGTGTGTACATCGTAGAATCTCTAGCTACGACAGTGAAAATTACTTATTAGTTTATTAAAATTTGCAGCAGAATATTGCAACGAATTCATCGAAATCACATCACAGGGTCAGTTACTATTTTAAGCCCATATACCTTATTCTAGTTTTCGGACAAACCAATCTATTCATTCTACTTGAGTTATATGTTGACCTTGTTAGTTATTCGCTTACCAGTCTTCATTGTTTTTATATGAGCGCATATGTGTGTACACTTCCCATCCCATTCATCACATGTCTGTAGCTTATTTTTGTCTGCCTATAAATATTGATTAACGCCTGGCTAAAAATGAGTTGGCTTACCAGCCATCTCCACTCTGCGTTTCTTCTCTTCCTTCTATTCCATTCATCTCATATACAAAATATATGTATTCAAAACCCCATTCTCGTTATTTGACTCATTTAATTCCGTTATTGGCGAACGTGATTTAAGTCGACGATTATATACGAGAATAGGCGATAACAAACATTCGTACGATCTAAATAGGAGTCAGATCCACGGGCCACTAAACTATTGCTCCATGTACACATTATATAAATATTTATCATACTAGAATCTAGTTTTAATTAAATAGCGTATATTACATACGGATTTTTTTAAAACACACTTCATTATGATTTCTTACTCTGGTTTGGGTTATAGGTCATAACTAGAAGTGGCCAATCATTTTTAGTTTACTATAAATTGAGCACAGTAAGTTTACTTGATATGAGTATTTCAACGTCAAGTTCTAGGGTGTATGGACAATGATTTAAATAGATTCAAAAACAATCAATATAATCAAAGAAGTTTGATATAGGATTTATAATTGAAGTTCTTACTAGGACTGCAAAAATATCCTCTGCGATGTTCATTGAAAATAAAGGTGAACGTCCAGTTTGAGTTAATATTGGTAGAAATAGATCGGTAAGACTGTTATTCATTTGACTTTGATTTCGCCCATTTGTATTATTTATCTTCGTCGAAAGTGATGGTATTAGTTGCCATCCGCCAAAATGCATATCTATCAAGTGATGACGACTTTCACGCGTTGTGTTTGAATTTCGACTATTTACGCAAGATTTGTAAAATGCTCGAGCTGATTGTAAGCGCCAATCTTCTTTATAGTATGAATCGTTAGCTTGAAAGCATTGTCAATTATTGACATTAAATTATGGAGAATAAATATAAAATATTTGATTCAAGCGAACGAATGAATTACTTTGAGACATTAATACCCAGAGCTGTCTATCCTCTTATAACCATTCTTAAGATATTTAATATGTTTGGTCTTAGTCAAATGGCCGTAATCTTAACGAATTCGTTCGATAAATTATTGTAAATTTGAAACTCAAAAGAGACTACGGAATTCTAATGTTAGGTAAATGGAGGAAGATTAAAGAAAGCCTTTGCAGTTACTCACCAACATTGCGTGAATCCAACCTTGATGGACTGATGTACTTCAAGGAATTCGATGTAGAGCCATTTGTACTGGTAACCACATTTCATCTTGGCAGAATCACTAGTCAGCCCTCGTGACAAAAGCTGGATAGAATTATATAAAACAATGTGGCCCGATATTATTCATATCTTAGTCTTACTAAAGGCCATACTTCGTCCGAATAGCTTCACCATGATGTCGCTTACTATCTAACATGGTCCAAAGTTTTCGCATCTCATGTAAACCATCATTTTCAAGTAGATTCTAAATATACTTCGCTGATAGGTGTCAAATGGTATGTAGCCTGGCTTATGAACTTTCAGCTAGATATACGATTGGACCTTACTCCAAAAGCATACATATCACTTGCTTTTAACTAGAAGTTACATTGTAACTTCTTGAAAATAATTTCGTGTATCGCATTCAGTAAAGGGAAATAAATAGGTGGACCTCTTTCAAAAACAATAGTTATTTATTCAAGAAGTGATATTACCTATATTTTAAGTGACTGAAACTTTGTTTGAGTTAGTTTACAGATCCTTCGGTTTGGTTGAAGCATGGCTGTCTGTCTACTTGCATGGATTCTGCAACAAAATTTAAGCTTTAACTCTAAACAATTCGATACTCTTTATATGAAGTTTTAATTGTGGGGAAATATTTATTATATCGAAATCAGCACAAATTATACTATGATAACATTATTTTACTATGACTTACCGATTATCTTCCAGAAGTAGTTATCAACGTTCATTCCCATCTGTTGCATAACGCTTGAACTAGCACTATCACCCGACAAAGGGTTCTGTTTTTCCCACTCTCCACATGCAGTTTCGTAAAAATCAATACAATGATCCGAGATACGTGAGTTATCGGTATTATTCTGCATAGTCTCTTCCAATGTGTTTGTTGCTGCATAAAAATGTGTAAGCGATAAAACTAACTACTGAAACGACTAGTTGAAGAATATATAAGATAGACAATTTCAGAACGATTAAGTGTAAGGTATTTGCTTTAAATATTTGACCATTACTGTTGTGCGGAGGAAGACTCTAGTTTTTTAATTACAATTGGATGTTATTATAAATAAGTGAGACTGATTCACTAAGAAGATAACTCTCACACTGATCTATTTCCTACAGCTTATGGCATCGCTCGTATTTATCTAATCGATTTACTTTCCATCCTCGGATATCTCCGTTAGAAAGGTGCATTTCCGCTACGAATTAATCGACCTACAGCAAAGTAGAAGTATGGACACGGTGATGTTTATTATGACATTGAAGGTATTCAAAGAAAGATAACTTATGAGGTGATTTACTACTCTGTGATACTTCATTCTAAATGCTTGATGAATAGACGTTTGGGTATTTTGATGTGATATGATTCAGAAACAGTTACAGTGTCAAGGCTACATTCGCTCTTCATCTTCCTCTTGATTTTGAACTAAAGCATCCGTTCATACCTACTTTTTTGATTATCATAATTAATAGATTATTTCGATCGTTTTACTATTCCTTTGGTCAAATAAACATTCTTGAGGTATGGCATTAAGGTGAGACATATTTGGTTAACATATATTAGAAAATCACTGACGGTTATGGACAAGATAACCGTATTGATCAGATTAATCCGTTAGTGTTAATATAATCACAAATCCTTCAGTAGCATGTTCCATGGAAATCCATATATTTTTAAAATGTTAGTGGGGAGTGTTAACTTTGTCTAAAATTAATCAACCTAACAACAAAAAGAAACAATATCTAACATCACAAAGGGTTAGATAGACTAAAGATGAAGAGAGAAATAGATCTGTTCGTTCAGCATTCGTCTGCTTAAAAGAGCATTACAAAAACTCAGATCTCAGAGGATCAAGAAAAAAATGTACGTTACATTAGATCGTATAATCAGTATATAAGATAATAATGTGGAGATTTAGTCACTGATCCGACCCTAATGGTTCTTTTCCGTATTCAATCTACAAATCTTTCATTTAATCAAAAATTGACTAACCGGTGTCAGGTGTTTCCGTAATCCATGTGGTTTCATTTGTTCCAACGAATTCTGAAATGACACAAAGTAAAACACTGAGAAGCTCTATCATCATAAACCTAAGTAAATGTTGACCATGGAAAATTCCTGATGACATCAAAATTACATGCTGTTAAGATAATCAATAAACATTGAATTGCACAAGACGGTTAATGATACTGCAATTTCTCAAACTGATCGAATATTAGACTGGAAAAAAAATGATGATGATGATGATGATGATGATGATGATGATGATGATGATGATGATGATGATGATGATGATGATGATGATGATGATGATGATGATGATGATGATGATGATGATGATGATGATGATGATGATGATGATGATGATGATGATGATGATGATGATGATGATGATGATGATGATGATGATGATGATGATGATGATGATGATGATGATGATGATGATGATGATGATGATGATGATGATGATGATGATGATGATGATGATGATGATGATGATGATGATGATGATGATGATGATGATGATGATGATAATGATGATGATGATGATGATGATGATGATGATGATGATGATGATGATGATGATGATGATGATGATGATGATGATGATGATGATGATGATGATGATGATGATGATGATGATGATGATGATGATGATGATGATGATGATGATGATGATGATGATGATGATGATGATGATGATGATGATGATGATGATGATGATGATGATGATGATGATGATTATCGTTTGAACTATTTTGGGATTCCGTGATCAGACTGATCAGTATAACACTCTATGAACATACTGTTATATTTATTTATTTATTTCCTGCATATTTTATGATGATAAATGTAAGTGCTTCATAACTGGGTATAACCGAATGTATTTTAACACCAAATCACAGAACATGTTACTAAAAATCTGAAATACTCTATTTGCTAAATGTTAGTCAATTGTCTCAAACTTGACAGTTTCTTCATTTTCGCAGCAATCATTCACTGTTCTCGTTCTCTTTCTTCGACCTCCTCAACCTTCTGCTGCCAGAAATTCCACTTTCGATTGATGATACCTACTACTTGTATCTATCGACATCAATAACACACGCCACAGTATGATTTATTGAAGGTTTATTTTTTCTATCTTGTCTCTCTATTTGTAATTATTATTATATATATTATGTTTCATAATGATTTGTATCAAACTTGTTTTGTCGGAATACATTATGAATTATGTGACTATCATTGTTCCCAATTCATTGTTGCTGATTATGTATTAGTTTTGTCTAATTGTCAAATGATAATATTCCACCAACATGATTATTTTATCTAAGATAATGTTTTTCAAGTGTATACAAATATCCATTAAAACTATTGACAATAAAACATATTGCTTAGTAAACAATAGGAGAATGATATTTATACGTGCTTTATCAGTGAATACAACTCCGCCTGGGACCCCTCTGCGATTACTGCCGGTCCCATGCCCGGATAAATGAGGAGGGTTGGGCATGGAGTTACTGACCCCATCCCGTAGAAAACTAACTCGCTAAAAATACGCTAACCAGAAAAAATCCAAATCATTTAAACTCTACACTGAGAATTAGAAGATCATTTGGAAGAGTTATGACGCCTCATGATGAAACCGAGTTCATTCGGCAATTACGAGTCTGATGCCCTTTCTGACAACCAGAGCAACCATTAACTTAGGTACATGGAATACTCGTAGAATGTGGAAAACTGGGAGAGTAATGCAAATTGCTAACTGTGAATACGGTTTAAAATTTTTCATTTTGTTTTTCAGATATTTTGAAATAATTTCAGGAATCTAATAGTTGATAGGAACTTATGAAACGTCGTGGATAAATTGACTAATAATCATTATATAACGCATCTATGGAAAACATGAGAAAGGATACTATTTGTGAAGAAATAAATGATTAATATTAGATAAGTTCAAAACTGTTCAGGATCAAAGTCGTGTATTTTTCAAAGAAACCTATTGAAATGATTAAATATGAAGTTAGAGCATAGTTGTTCACACATGAAATATGATGTGTTTGGATTTCTGGTATTGTCAGTTTTTGAAACACAGTTTTTAAAAGTTCTATCAAATTTGTTCTAGCTATTGTTAAACTTGCAGTGAATCAAATGAGATTTGAATAGGGTACTCTATATGTTTTGATTTCATATGGAATGTACAATGTTAATGTAAAGATAGTTGACTACGATTACCAACCTGAATTTCGTCATGGCATAATTAAACTCACAAAGATTTATTACGAATAAATATTAATATAAAGCAACATTTCTATGTGATTAATAAACCTTAGACTGATTTTACTGAAAAAATCCTGTGAATCTTGTTACTTTCCACGCACCCACTGGTACTCCAAAATTATCTAATGATGATTGCTTATTCATGAATAGTTTATATTTCTGTGAAAAGGTAAATAATCCCGTTTTCAGGAATCATTAAAATGCATCAGTTTAAAACTTGCAAAATTAGCCCGTATTTATTATGAATAAATTAAGGATTGTTTTATTACATCTGATACAGTCGTACACTTTTCTACCTAATGCATTATGCGTCTTTTTTAATCAAAGTTTGAATCACGATAGTGAATAACTTCTGATTAATTGTGTTTTTGTGGCACGAAATCTGACTCTCATAATATCGTGTGAATGATTATTATTGAAATACGCATATCGTCAATCCTCGTATATTATCATCGACTTAACTCACGTTAGTGAATAATGGGATTTACTAAGCCAAACACGAGAATGAATTTGGAATATGTATATTTCATGCATTCATTGATTTGAATAGGCAATAAGGGAATGAATCGAAGAGAAGAGAGCGAAGCGAAATGACGCGCAGTGGAGAAGGCATGTGAGCCAACTCCATTTAACCAAGCGTTAATCAATATTTTTAGTCACACAAAATCAAGCTGCAGACATGTGATGAATGGGATAAGAAGGGCATACACATATGCGCTCATATAAAAACAGTCAAGATTGATAAGCGAATAATTAACATGGTCAAAACGTGACTCCGATTAACTGTATGATATGAAATCGTTTAGACCCTTAGTTGAACCAGATATCCAAATTAAAGTTTCATCATTATGGATACGTTTTCATTAAGTTTTAATTTGAGAAAGGCATGTTATAATTTCCCAATGAAAATTTACTTTATCACTGCTTATGCACATCACATTCTAATATTCTTGTTCAACATGTTGACATACTTTATTCAAGAAATCTTCAAATCAATCATATAAGCCTCTACTTTACGTTTGCAATAATTCTGGAAATTGGTAGTGATGTGTGAGCAAGAATGATAATGATTGGTTGTCTGCTTATTCAGACATTCAGAGATAGTCAGATAGGTGTCAGATGAGTTATATATTCTCCTATTCTTATTATTAATTATTATTATTGATTGGCTGTTCATTGTTGTCGGATTGTGTCGGGTTTTTGGTGTGAAAATATAGTTGCGTTCTGGTCAGGCTAATCACGTGTTCTTGATCTGAGTTGTGTCGAATTCCTGCAGGATAGACACTGGGAAGAAATTTAGTGTAGATGTTCGTCTTAGGTAAATGAACGTCCCATACGTGTAAACGTCAAAAACCCAACCGTTTTAACATTAGACGAAGTAAAACTGAGCGTTAAAACAGGTAGTTTTTTGACTATTTTGCCCAACGACAGTATGATGCATTATGGTGTATGCAGTATTGTTTTCGTGCATGCAGAAAATGTAAGTGATTGCGTGAAAACATGCAAAATGTGAAGAGCGATATATCAAACTATTAACAAAATTTGACTATCCAGTCATTGTGAACAAAATTAAATTTGATAAGTTTTAATCAAGATGCAGTGTCATATATAATGAATCTTACCGTAACAGCAACTCAGAACGAAAAGGATTGACACTATATCAAATGAAATTATGTTTGTCAACTTCAAGAAATCCTACCATATTTCGAAATTCTTCCTGCTAGAAAGCCTCCAAACGAAGGTGACATCACTTTATGGATAATGCAAGGGATATGTTTTCAGTACGTTTGTTCTTTTCGTATGATCGACTTCGTGTTTTCAGATATATATATATATATATATATATATATATATATATATATATATATATATATATATATATATATATATATATTTATTAGGTCAAAGATTGTTGGTTTGTGGAAAATGGTTATCAGTAGACTGTTGATATTTCCGCTCATTGTTTAAAAACTATTTTCTCTGTCACATTGAAATAACTTTGTTCTAATGAACAAGAAAGATGAGATATGAGTTTATAATTAACTGTTGGAAATTCAACTCTTTAGAAGTTTATCATTCCAGACAAAAATGACTTTGTCTGTATTTTAAAACAACAAAATGTTGGTTTTGCGTGATCATTGAGAATTTGGCTGAATGTCTTAACTAATTCTTGTATTATTCAAATAATTTCTAAAAACCTAGGAGGTTTTTATTACTTCTAATTCTTTAGAGTAATTTCGTAACTTGGGACTAAGATCTTGTATTAGTTGAAGGAAATGAGAAGTTCCTAGTTTTGAACACATAACGATAACATGAAAGATACTTACATCAAGTCAGTATGAGATTTATGAAGGTACCTTGAATAAGGTTACAATTACTATAGTTAACAAATGTGTGCTGAAATCTAAATTTCTTCTGCGTCTTTTGGTAAGAGTAAGATATATTTGTAGAAAAGTCCTATCTGTCTTGTCCATTTTCGAACTTATATAATCATTTTATTATGATTATCACATTTTGATCTAAACACATGCATACATTGATGAGATCATTACTCCGTTCTGTGGGTTAAACATGATGATGTTCTGTATTACTGAGTGTGTTCATATAAGTTCAAGTAAGCATAAATCACGAGATCACGTACAAATAATTTGTAAATGATAACAACTAATTGTACAAAGAAACCTGATTTGACATTGCTCCGAATTCCAGGTCCCCTGTTTTTGGCTTTGCAAATATTGATTTAAATTGGGTTTTTTTTCAATATTTTGACTGACGAACTAAATTGAGCCTGATCATCCTATAAAATTACTGCCGGTCCCAATCCTCAGTTAGCTTTTAGGTTAGGAACACCACTCAGTAATAAAGAACTCAACGATAAAAGTGCTAGTCAGAAACATTCATCTAAATCATTTAATCTCTAACCTGGAAGTCGAAGAGCATTCATATACGAGTGTTATGACGCCTCACGGTGAAAGCAGATATTATTTAGAAGTGTTAAAAAGAATGCTCTTTCAGACAACCAGAGCAAAATCTGATTGAAGTTTATGGAACATCCTGACAGTATGAGAGATAGGTAGGGTCATTGAAATCGCTGACGAAGTGAGCAGATACAACCTGACTGTGCTCAGAACTAGTGCAACCCACTGTAGACAAGCTGAACAGAAAATTATGGCTTCATAAATGCTGTTGCTTCATTCAGGTCACGAATAGGGCAACGACCCACACACAATGTTTACGCTGATACCGTCCAAAGAATCACAGTAGGCACTTATAGAATGGTAGAAAGACAGGTTAAGCACCATCAGTTCAACCCTTAGAGGAAGAAGTAATGGACTACAATGAATTTCATCTGTAGTGGCTTAGCTTCGTTACTCGATCACTTCGATATCCGTTATAATATAAATCTCAACGGTTTTTAAAATCAGAAGACGATGAGAAGCTGAAACTAGAGTTTATTAGTGGATAATAGTTTAGG